AATCTTGTTAAACCCATAGGCAGTTACTAGTTCCTCGTCGGTTTTTCTCAATGTGATTCACAAAAAGGTATGAGTTCCATGTTCTTTGACCTTCTATACGACATCCTTGCATATCGCTACATTAGGAGTTCCTCCCCGCTTTTAGCTGAATCGTGCATCTCCAAAAAGGCAGTGAGCACGGCAGAAGAATAGGGCTGCTATGACGATAATGTGGTCGACCAGGGTCGAGCAAGAGCTATGGAACGCGACCGCCAAATACGATCCCCATCTCAATTGGGTCTCAATAAAACCTTTCTAGATTACGTTTGCCAACTGTAGGCATAGAGAGGCCTTATTAAGCATAACTCAAATTATTCTCAAAATTAGCATGTAACACCCACGTGAACCAAGTTTTTCTAAAGTTTTCAAATACTCTGCAACCTAGTAAAAATGGTCTTTTCCAAAAATGAACTTTATTTCAAAAATGAGTTGGCTACCTCTTTTTGCTCCCAGTTCAGAGCACTCTCCTTACTAGTATAGGCTGAAACTTTTACTTCAAATAACCTTCAAGCAATGGAAATAGAAGCCAGCCAAGAATTTGCTCTACGCATTTTCCGCTTTCAGTAGTTGGTATTCGACTACTATCACTCGAGGGAAAAAATGCAAATCAGATTCAAACTGCTTCTGTGTAAACTAGGAGACTCAAGCTATCCAACCATTTCCGATAAAACTTTTCTATGATAAAATTATTGAGGTGTGCCACAACGCTAGCACAGCTTCTTAGGATTGGATATCCCATTGATTTACCTCCGGGCATTCAAAGATCCGCGTTTCATATATTGTTGAAACCGCAAAATTCTTTTCTTCGTAAGAGGATATACATCTGGGTCGGTAATGATCCCGCAACTTGGTGGCAGGTCTCAACGGCGAGTCGCTGGCACCTTGCCTTGAAGTCGCCGGAAACTAAGATCCCAAATCTAGGTTGTCAAGTCATTTTTTACAAAAATTTTTGGATAAAGGTTCCACCGCGACTCAACCCCCCCTCCCCCCTCCCCATGAAGATGTGAAGTTCCAGGGATCTTCTTACAGGTTAATATTGGGAAGCGCAGGAGGAGCAACCGGCAACTTCACGCCTCAGTTGCCGGCAACCTGCCGGCAGCTGGCAGGTGGCAGCTGCAGTAAGGCCAAGGAGCACGAGAAATAGCGTGCACTTTTGAGAAAGAGAAGTGTCCGGCATCTCGACGTCCCCTTACCATATCGAGGTGCTGGCATCTTTCTTTCCAGTTTGGTTAATGCGGCATATCACCCAATTTAAACAAATTAATCAAAAAATTCTACTACTCACCAAAATATTATATTATCATTTTTGTCGTTATTTGGGAGGGGAGGGGGGTTGATTGATTTGATGATATGAATGAAGGAAGAGTCTGGCATAATTGCAAAACTTCAGCAGAATCGTCTTCTTTTGCGTTCATAACCCCTTTGCAACAATTCGTCCTATGGCGTCCATTTAGACCAACTGTTCTATTAGGTCAGCGCCTATCACGCAATGCATTGATCATGTCCTCTTATAAGAGCCACCGGTTGTGCTTCCCTGCTAATGTTTTGCGAACAGCAAAAAGTGACCGAGTTGTTTATTGGTTAAAACGACCGCGCCCAAAGTCAACAACGCATGCATGGAACGCAGATGTTATTGCTTTGCGAGGGTTTTTTCACTGCGTCGTCAAAATTCTCATAGAGACAACAACTGTGGACTAAGATGAGACGAAACTATAGCCGATAACTAGTCGGCGAGCTGTCGCCGAAGTTGGCAACTTCCCGCAATGTTTGCCAGCTTGCTGGAATCTATAATCCCACCAGAAAGTGCAGATTACACCGGCCCTGAGACTGTTTCTCATAAAAGAAAATATAGCGGGTTTCCCTACAACGTTTATGGAAATTATTGGATTACGCTAGCATGGTAGGTCTGCATCACTGTGCACTTGCGATGGAGGAAAAAATATATACGACATCCTAAGGCTCGCAGTTTGCACAAGACGCAATTAATGTATAATAAACAATAAAGAATTACTATTGAGCCTGATTCATCTTCTCTAGTCTGAGACAATGAAAGCGAAATAGGGTTAATGAGGTTTTGGCCGGCTTCTAATTCCATTTGGCGGTTATGTGAAGTGGGATTCTTGATGTGGGCAAAGAAGGAGTATGTGCTTCGTGCTAAGTGCAGAAAGAGACAGCTAACTCATCTTGAAAACAAATTTAATGTGGTTGCAGATGACCACTTCAGCTAAGTTGCCCAATATATGGAAACCTCGAAAATTTGCTCAAATCTGTTCCACAGAGGTTATTTGACATGCTAGGTAGGCAAACTATACTCATCATGCTTAGAAGTACTCTGCATTATGCTTTTACGACGTACACACGTACGACGTATACAGTGATAGGCCAATATACCAGCGTATTCGCTTTTTGCATGGGCTTATCTGGTACTGTTAACGAATATCCAAGAGTGGCCTGCTACACCTCACGCCTGACCCTGTGCCTGACCTTCGCTTGAAGCCTTTTAGGTGATTTGTGTGCAGCAGCATTTCGCTCTTCCCATATAGATGAATTTTGAAGGAAAGCTTTGCAGCGTAGAGAACCCAACAGACAATTTTCTCATTATTCCGAAACCCCAGACGTTCTGACTCTAGATTTGTCTTCCACTGGCACTACAATCGTGTTGGAATCACCCATAGCAAGCTTGTAGCTGAAGAGCGCATATGCAATGGGCAGAGAGGACCTTGATGGTGTACTCACCTTCGCTGTTTTGGGTAACTCCCTTGTACAGCAAAGCATGTAAATAAAGTTGAAACGTTTATTTATATGAAAAGAGTGAAATTTCTAAAGTTGATACTTCGAAGAACACTTCAAGAACTGTTGACCGATCAGTTTGTTAAGTTTGTTTTGCAAGCTTTTTATAATAAACATCAAGTCGTTTATATCGAGAGTGTTGGACAAAGCACAAATATCTGGCAAGCAGGATTCCGTAAAGAACGCTGCATCGATCACATCCAAATCTTGAGGGTCGGGTTAATCTGACTGGTGGAACACGTGCCCTTGATCCTCACGTATTTCGATTAGAAAAGGCTTCCGAAAGCATCAAAGTTCACGCCGTTCTGACTGCTTTGACGACTACCGTGTGGACTCAACATCATAAGGAGCATAGCAGAGTGCAACAAAGGAAGTAACACCACGATGCAGCTGTTCGACCAGCCGCTCCAAATTCAAATGGGAAAAAGAGTACGAATAGGTGATTTGTCGCCTAAGCTATTCATGTGGTGTAATTTCGCTCGATTGGGAGACGAAGAAATACGCGTGGATAAATCCGCAGATGATATTGTTTTGCTTTCGAAGTCCATCAACGAAGCCGAAGAGATGCTGAACGAGTTAAACAAATGCAAGAGAAGAATAGTGTGCAAAATGAATCGGAAGGAGACGTTCATGAGAAACAAGCTCGTAGCTTGTTGCGTAAAACATTTTTCGAAGTTTTCGCGGAAAGCATTCAACTCTTTTATACAAAGTGTCCCAAAAAGATATGCACACTGTTTGATCATTAATAATTCTTTTGTTTTCATATCTTTTGCCGAGCTTGAGGTACCATTCTGTAAAGCGAGGATAAATTAGATTTACAGTATAAAGCGAATCACTAATCGGTCTTCATTACTGTAGGACTACGGTATTAACTTTCAGCATAGAGCGTCACTGTACATAGAATAGGCCTTTTGATGCAATAATTTCAAAAAAATCTAAAAATTTGTGTACAAGGCTTTCAGGCGTGCTGAATTCGGTACACAATTCTCCACCAGTTTTTCGAGCTTTCTTAATGGCGCATTCACAATTCTGACGAACATTGGAAAATTAGTTGTTACCCTAAATCTGAAATAACTCATGAAAGAAACACTGTCCTGAGGTGCGTCTTTCATATCTAGAATCAGCGACTTTGATTAACCCAGTTTAAGAGTTCTGGCTTGTTTGGTTTTCTTTCTAAGGCAGAATACCGCTTTCAATGGCTTGAAATCCTCCTCGAAGTTCCTGCCGTAATCCTACAGTAATGAAGGGCGGCTGATAATTCGCTTCGAACTGTAAATCTAACAGGGGAGTGGTCAGAAGTCGAAGTGGCCAATCCATACAAGTTGCAAACCGTTAGATGCAGCATAAAACGCTGATTCTAAATCTATCTTCCTTATTTGCAGAGCCCTTTTGTGGACGAAATTATAAGCATTTGAAGGTCATTATTTTGCTAAGATATTGTGCGTGTAAAATGCAAACTTGGCCGTACAAAGCCACTCTCGGCTCAGTGTTGGACCAAAACATGCAACTAGGTCACTTCATGTTACCCGTACCTAGAGGTGAGCTGAAAGAGCAATAATCTGCTTAATTTTGCAATATTTGTACGCGGCTTTTTCGCAGTAAAGCTGCTCGCAACTTCGACTACAAAGGCGCTGTGCAGATATGGAAGACAGATATGAAATCAGCATATTATGCTGCATCGAATGATATGCAGCTTGTATGAATTGGCCACTTCGACTTCTGACCATTTCCTTGTAAGTTGAACCTCGCTCTAAAGAATGGTACCTCAAGCTCGGCAAAAGACATGAAAGCAAGAGAGTTATTAACAATCAAACAATGTGCACATCTTTTTGAGACACCCTGTATCAGCAGTCATTGCTGGGGATAAGAAGCTTATCATGCTGATAGTCCTTGAATGTGGTAGGCGCAGATAAAATATAACGATGAATCCTTGAGGGAATGAAGAATTACTATAATTGGATGGAATAATACTTGAAAAAAATTTGACCTGAGCAACTGGTATTGGTTTTGTTACCACCCAGCGCTTTAGCTGGGATACAATGTACATGTATCACGTATTTATGTTTCAAAATGAAGGTTTGGGTATCCGAATATGCACCTGATGGGAGTTATGCTTACATTTACATTATTTGCTTTTGCTTACATTATTTTAATCTCAACTTTTATTTTAGAAGGGACTACCATACCTGCCATTGATCACACCCCAGGCAAGTCAAAGAAGCAAGAAGCAACATTCACTTTAAATTTATTTTAAATGTGTAAATTGTTTCAGAGGTTCTGTGATGATTTTATTCTCGTCGATTGCAAGTGCAAATACTGCAGGAAAGTTTGCAAGTCATGTTGACCAGTTTATAATAAAGCTAAGGCTGTGAGGAGTTGAATTATACAGAGTAATGTGAAGTCAAGAGTGCAGTTTACAGACAGTCCATAGTTCTTTGTCATGGTGAAGACTTGTATAGTGATTTCAATATGCGAACACACGCTATTAATTTGCCTGTGCGGGAAAAAACAAACTATGCTCAAACTTTTTTTTCGAAAAATTGGGTAACTAAACCGGCCGCCGAGCCTAGCTTGTAAAAAGCTTAAAAACCTAGAAATTCCCAAAAATATGTTTGCTTAGCATGATGAGGATGCTTTCATACCGCGTCCAGCCGCCGTAAATCGCCGCTAGCATTTTGTTCTCTCGAAAGCGCGGAACTGTCACTTTACTACGATATATTGAAGGTTTAATCCAAGCACGTCCCCAGTGCTGTTAGAGGACGACTTATATAGACATGCGGGCGCGGGAATCCTTACGAGGATAGTTTTCCAGGTCATAGCCTGCACCCGACAAGCTCCCGTCTCGTAATGCGGTCGGTCTGGTTTGATACGAATACAATCGCTAACGCACCATCTCTGCGCCAATCTCTAAGTTATGCTCTCAAACACATTTTACATGCGATCTCTTGTCTGAGTTTGTGTGGGACGGACTATTCTTTCAAAACTGTCTATTCGTTCAGATGTAGGTTAAATGTTTAATAGATAACGACTGTTTTCACCTTTTGTAAGAACGACGAATACTGTTCAATGGATAACAACTTTTCACCTTTTGTAAGAACGACGAATACGTGTTAGAAACTATTGAGTCGGTCCAAAAGCTCAACCTTTAATTTGAAAAAAAACCTTATTTCGATATCTGGGCAGATTTGCATTTTTGCTTTTTTCAAAAAGAAGAAAACTTTATAGTACAGTCCTAATGAGTTTCTATGTCTCGTTTTTCGATCAGTTTGAGTTAGGTCCTCAAGAATCTGAAACGTTACAGAAAAATCCAATATTGCCAGTACGTGAGTTTTATGAACTACTCCTTGCAACTGTGAAGAGTTCTTGCTGTTTGAAAGTCTCTGTGAGAAGTTATGAATTTTGAGTCTACTACAGGGAACGCCAAAACCTATGGAATCAGGGCTCGGCACGAGCTAGCACCAGGAAATTTTCAAAACAAAGTCCCCTTTGACTTTCCCAAAATTTTACGAAGTCCCCTTTGACCCTCAACGATATCCCCTCTAAAAACCTGAAAAATTCCCCAAAATCCCCCCCCCCTCAAAAACGAAACGTCGACCGTTTGCTTTTTGCCCCAAAAACGATATCCAACTTGCCCCGTGCCAGCTAGGGCCAGGCCCTGTATGGAATTGTCAGTGGTTTCGAAAATCACACTCATAATAACGTCAGAACAGCACAATATATTAGGTTAGTGCAAAGTTCTGTCAGTTCTTCGAAATGATCCGCAAATCCCCTACACTAAAGTTAAACAAACACTTCAAGCTGTATCCGATGCAGAATTTCTTCCTCTTTCGTTTTCAATCTCGGTGTGATTCGTAGAAAGAGTGCTGAGATAACCGCTGCATATTACCCTAATTCCGCGCACACGGGGGAGTTTTTTCTAACATCGAACAGCACAGAGACGCCGAAGGACATCGGGACGAAAAAACTATTTACAGTGCTGCATATTGGCTGAGAGTATCGTGCGGCATAAGTCTCGTTTTTCGGAACACAATGAGGCGACTGAACGGCACGCTTGAAAAATTGAAAAAGGTGAGTCTTATATACTAAAATTAGGGTACAGTCCTTCGTTTTCACCACGTCCAAATTTCAGTAAATTTTCAAAATTCCGTTCGGAAACTTTTAGTGAAGCTTCACTAGCAGGTAGGGCAAACCTTTTGCCTTCTGTAGCTCTGCAGCTAAAATATCAGAATTTTTTAGGTATATTTTTCGGAGTAGCCAGATTTTATATGTCGCCTATTCTAATCTCGTAAAACATGAATTGGTAAAAAGTTCAGAAACAATAACGCAACTTTTTTTCTCTTTCTTACAGTTGGCTTTGCTCGGCGAGGCAAGCGAATTTTGCGCAAAATGCAGTATTCCTCAATTTTACGAATGCGCACTGACGTGCCCTAGGTTTTAAAATCTTCATATTCCGAAGCGAAAATCGATCATTTGCGTTATAGTTTTAGTAGTAGTTATAATCTAATTTTGAGAACTCATTTGAAGGTTTTACAGTGTTTGGTGTAAACAGGTGATGGATGTTATTAGGTTGCATTAGGTTGGTGCAAAAATAATGGCCGATTTTCCAGGCCTTTTTCAAGGTAACTTTTTCCCATTAGTACTTCTTCTTTAGAATAAATGTAGTGTGCCATCGAGAACTGTTTTCATGCTCTATCTAATGGTGTTGAAAATTCCACTCTTATCTGTTATAAAGTTGAGCTTCAAATGACCGCAATCAATCCATCAGAATTTTAATGCATCCATTTTCTAAGCAGAATTCAAGAGCGTATCAATGACAATTCCTCGAAAATTTGATTATTGTATGTAATAGAAATTGTCTACATTATGCACACTTAACAGCATTCTTTGAAGCTATGCAGACGTAGATATCGGCGCCTAAACATGGGGAGCTGTTGCGGTCATTTTATGATCCATAATTTTCTTCTTAAGAAGTCGATCGCCGAAGCTTTGTTCAATTTTGTAAGCGTAGAGCAACATTCTATAAGCAGTTTTTGCCAAAACATCCACTGTTCAGTACGTAGAAAATCAGAAAATTCGATATTCGGGATTTTGAGGCACACTGAAAAAAATGTTGAAAAAAGTGAGGAATTTTAAATTGTAATTTTTTTTCTTTCCCGCAAACTTCTTTGTCCAAAATCTTTTTGTGTTTTGTACTACTGGCTTGCGGCTACAAGGTAGGCTACATATAATTCATACTAACAAACTTTGAAGTTACGAATTGTCAAAAATAAGGTTTTAGCAGAAAAACCTTTTTTGTTTTTCGATCCATATTTTTCTGCCCGTTGGCGATGTGAGTACAAGTAAATGTGCGCTGTATTGCGAAGATTTGCTGCTTTTGATGATTGTTACCATATACGAAAATGTGGATCTTTCAAAAAGTAATAGCATATCAAAGGACAATTCGCAAAACGGCCATTATTTTTGCATCGAACCAATATTTCAAAAACTCAAGACTTTTGGGATATTATTTAGCAAGTTTCCAAAAGAGCAGCTAAAAAGAAGAAAAATTGCTTCAGTGATTAGATTACCGAAAACTAATGAAAGTTGAGCATGGTGGAAACAAAAGCTTGTAATTTTCAGCAATTATCTTAAAACTTTTTTAGCCAATCACAGTGGAATCACAGCAGCTAGAAAGAGGAGGAAATTCTGCATCGGGTGCAGCTCAAAGTTTTGTTTATCCTTATTGTACCTTTTGATAAATGACAAAACTTTTGCATCGACCTAACATAATGCGTTTTTTCAGTTTTCTCTTTGAAGAACACGAAGTTACAGAATACTCGATTTTATCCTTTTCATTTTTGCTGTGCCAAACATGTTTGTTACGGTGACAAGTTTATTTGATCGGCTTGACCACTTAACGGGTTTGTCGTCCTCAGAGTCTTGGAATGGTTCAAAGATTACTAGCGATACTACGTCAACAAAAGCTTCATCTATCCTTGCTAGTTTCATCGTTCCAAGTCTATTTTACAAAAGTTGGCGACACGCAGACCAACCTACTCAGACAGTTGATCGGACCCCTCCGGCGCAGAAATGGCAGGACCGCGGGGTTTCCCCAGCGGGGGGGGGGGTCTGCCACTCGTGCGCCGGAGCCCCCCGATTTTGTGCGTCGGACTCCTCCCACTTTGTGCGCCGGAGGCCTCCCATTTTGTGCCGGAGGCCTCCCATTTTCTGTCACGGACCCCTCTAATTTTCTGTCCCGGACCCCTCCAATTTTCTGCTCCGCGGCTCTTCCAAATCTGGCGGACTCGCGGCGGGTAAGTCTCTGCGCCGCGACCCCAGCAAATCTAGCGTACTTGCGGCGGAGAGATTTGCAAGCCCGCCGGAGGGGTCCGATCTGCCTTCTTTGTGACGTTTCAAGAAGGGACCGCCCCCTCGCCCCGCTCTCATTGGTCAACAGGGTCCGCCGCGGCTCTGGCAGATTTCGACTGTCCGCCGGAGGGGTCCGATCGACTGTCTGAGTAGCCTTGCACAACCGCTAAACGCGATGTCCATGAAATGTGGCATACGAATAAGGTACATAGAGGTACATTTTCACCTACACACATTATATTTGATGGATACGATAATCAGTCATTTTGCTCATTTCTGATTTTTGAAATCCAGAGATTATATGCAGTATATAAGTATAGTGCTCATATGTAAAGACAGTTCAACATGTAATCACATTCAACATGAGAAGCTGAAATACAACTGCTGGAAGGAGTATACGCATTTTATCAAACTTGACTATATCGCTTGATTTTATAGATTTCAATAGATCTGTTTCAGTTCCTTATTTGTCCAGGATAGATATGATGGACTTCTTAGTATGCAGCTATCGTTCTGACCCTAAAAAAGCTTTTTGGAAGAAGAACGAACAAGGTGCCTAATTTTCCCTCAGTAGGTCCTCCGCACTAGATCTTGTGTAAGGAAACGTTAAGTCGTCGTTTAACCTCATGCCAATTGGTCGTTCCCAAAAATTCGTGCAAACTATCGTGAAATCATGTGGAATGAAAAAAGCACACGCTACCAACAGTATTATGAGCTGCCTTTCTTCTTTCTAGAAGTTATATATAAGAGCTAGTTGCTTTCCAATCACTTGAATGATCTCCGCGGCCTTTTACCCATCCCTTTTATTATCCCAACAGAGTAACTTCCAAAACAATCGTTTCAGGCTTTCAAAAATGAAGATGAATAACAGGGTAAACATTTTGTAACAAGCTCCATTTTGAGCTGCTTCAATTCTAACTTTGATGTTTCCCGAA